GTTCGCTGGAAAGAGCCCTGGAAATTGGACGGAAGCAAAGGGGAAGCCGAACGTTTCCTGCACGCGGTGGAATTTGATTCGGCCACCGTTCGATATTTAAATTCTACAGTTTAGATCTATCAGTTGTGGATCAGCTAGCTACCGAAGGTTCGAAATGAAAAACTCAAAATAGAGTTATTTCTTTAGTCTAGAATAGAAAAATTAAAGGATTTGATGTTTCGTCCCCCATGAACGCGACGTGTCTCACTTTAGCTTTCGAGTCTCGAAGCGGAAACATTGATCGTTAAGAAGCCGTACTTTCTTTCTTTTTTATTATTCTCTACCGTGCATCCTTTGGGGACAATTGATGGTCGATGGCGGATGATGGTTGCCTTTGATCTTGAATCCTATTTTCCGTCAACGCTGCTTTCCTCTTGGTCGATCCTTTAGATCCTTCCGGTTCGACGATCTCGTCGTCTTTGACACCCTTTGAGATCCGTTTACCCGGTGTAATTGTCATTCTTGTTCGAACGCTGACAATTTTTATATATTATACGATCGAACTGCCCATCTTTCCGGGCTCTTATTCCTCGTCAGATTTTCAATTTCTCACCTTTATGTGGAGAATATCTGAAATTTTTTATACCAAGTAAATTCCTATTTCGTTCTTTTTTACTTTTTTTTTTTTTTTCTTTTTCTTTTGCCATTGATACCATTTGCCATCGAGTGATCCCGAAACGATCGTGTAATCTGAAATTCTCGCCTCGTCCCCGAAGCATACACTCAAGTATTTTTCTATTTCGCTTTCCGCTCACGCTTACTCCTTCGAATACCACGAAAAACATCGACGTCTACTTTGTTTTCCAAGCGTGTTGCGCAAAGCTGTATCGAGCTACGACGATGCAATATTCAAAAGAATATGCAAAAGAGTTGCGTGAGCCACGTTGCTGCAAGTCTTGGCGAATGTCAAGGAATTCAGGGATCTCCGGGTAAGTTTAGTGATTCATGACACAATAGGAGATAGATCGGATCATAAAGCGGTTGGCCAAGTTAAGGGTGTTATTTCATCGAACGGAAATCTCCGCGTATGCTGGTAGGCGACGTTTACGACGTTTACGACGTTTACGACGTTTACGAGGTTGCATGCGACTGGTGCGCGTTTATCGTTTGTCGATAACCGGTGAAATAAATCTCTACCTAGCCCTTTTCTTTCCGAAAGTCGTTTTCCCGGCTAATCGGATCGTTATCCGATTTTTGCTTTCGTTTTCAAGGAGAAAATAAGCTTACGGAACGTGTAATTACATTCTAATTACGTTGCTCTGCCGGTGCATGTGATTTCAGTAGTAGCTTGCTTTAATTACAGCCCAGCTAACTCGGATTATTAATTAACTCTGTTAATGGATATAGGACCGAGGTTTCAAGGTTTCAAGCTTATGTGCTTTGTAGTCTCCAAGCTCGAAAAATAAGCATATTTCCATAGTTTCAACTGCATAACATTTTCGTTTCGGACCTAATCCCTATACGAGCTTCCCGTTGTTCAGTAGATATCGTTGCTCGTGCTCGTCTATCATACCATCTGGATTCTCCATTCCAAATGATGTCAGATTCGTCACGCTGAAATAGCTTCGAAATTGTCCAAGAATATATTGGGTTATTACATAGATAATATAGCGTTCGGTAACTGAAAGCTAATTTATTTATGTAACAAGCCAATATTTCAACACGTAATAGGAGGAAACCACTGCAGGAGACTTTCTTCTTAAGAGCACCCCATAGGACGCGGCCAACTGTCCTTCGGCCATGGAAAAGCAACTTTTCCAGCCGCCATCCGTTGATCTAGTTTTATTTTTCAACTGGTTCGCTGCAGGAGATTTTTGGTCTCCAAGTTCCGAAGGGAACGTAGTTTAATATCTTGGCGAAGCATCGAATTCCAACGGAAATAGTGCTATAAATTGAAATCAGTGTCGGGGCTCTCACTCTCTGTTCCTGACTGATTCTTCTTGATGGCTTTTCAATGCTATCGTTTCGTTCCCTCTTCTTTCTTTTCCTTTCCTTGCGGTTATTGTCATAAAGTGTACCAACCAACGAGGCGAATGCCAGACATTCCTGCCGTTTTCCTGGCTGTGTCCACCAATTTCAGGGAACAGGTCATCGAATACACGGAATATTGCCACCGTTGTCCAAGGATCGCCAAACGTTTCCAAATGTGTCGCGAGGTTCTCGGGAAATAACGGTGTTACTTGCCTGGGAAGGCAAGAGATTTCATCGCTTCGATTGAATAACTGAAACCTCGTTACATCGATTTAATTAGCTGAAATTCACCGAACATTTCCAGCTCAACAACACTTCACTCTAGCGTACGGATCATCGACAGACACTGTAACACAGTTTCCAACGTGAACGAGCCACTTTGGTAGATATCATCGAATCAATGGTTGAAAGAAGGGGAAAAAAAATTCCAAGCCAGCAGCCGGTCATTGAACGAAACGAAATCAATCGGTCGGATTCTTGTGCATTCTTCGAGCGGTCGTTCTCGAGGAGCCACCTGATCCACAGGGGTGGTCTCGTCACAGGAAGGGTGGAAAAAAGTCCGTGGTGTATAGAAAGTGGCGAGGATGCGATAGAAGTTGGGAGTGAATAACGCGGCGATATTCTCATTGCATATTCAACGCGAAGGCACGTAGGTACACGCGTGTACCTGACGCTGCAAAGGTAGCAAAAAAAAGAAAAAGGAGTGAGAAAACACTTCTCGATATAAGCTGAGGTACGAGCTGGAAAATAGAGGCTCACGGTGCGTCACGGTGCCCTCTAGCACGCGTTTACCAGCAAGTATGATTAAACGGTTAGACTGCGTTTTGCTTTTCCTTTGATACCGCTCTTTTTTTAAACGTTCGTTATCCTTGAAATTCTAATTCGACGAACAAGCGACACGCTCTCGTTTTCTCCACGTTGCGAAATTGATCGCTTGAATCGTGTCAAAAATCCTAATGACCCAATGTAAATGTAACCCGCTATGAAAATAGCAGAAAGGAGATAAAGATAAAATGAAAAAAATAGCGTTTAGGGTTGAAATATCGAGAAGGTAACAAGAGCGGAGGAAGGACAATGGTGTGTCCCCGTGTAGCAGAGGCATTGTTCTTTTATATTGTTCGATAAATACCCGTGCCAGCACGTGCACGGGCTGTAAACTGGAAAAACAGTGCGCGAGAAGGGTGAGGCTTGATGTACGAGCTGAAAAAAAGTCAGCCGTAGATGGAGAGGGTTTGTCCGGGAGGCTACATATGCAAACGCGAGGTTAAATGTCCATGCGGCGAGAAAGAGGGCAGGGGGCGTCGACAAATTAAAGTGATTTATTTTATTTTCCTGGAACTCGGCATTAATCTTGCCGCGTACAGAGACGCGCAAGATGTTGGGAAATACGGTAAGCAGATTTTCCTTCGGGCTTTTATTCAATTCCTTCGCCAACCCCCGGCAGAACTCGAGATAGGTATTAACTTTAAACCGTGTTAAATTTTTATTTTCATCTCGATGCACACGACGAATATCTTTTTCCAGTTAATTTTCTTTTTTCCATAATTCTTCTTCAATCATGCTTTGAATATTCTCGTTGAAAGGATTGGAAATACTTGAAGGAAAAATGATATCATTTAACCGGTTAATCTCCCCATTATTTCCACCATGAAAGTACCCATGAAACGTGGAATTTGATGAAACGAGGAAATAATCCAGTGCCAATGGTTCTTGCTTATAAAGCTTCGTCGTTGGAACAAAAAACGGGGACGTTTTCGATTAATTAAGCACGCTCGTCGAAAAAATCCATCGTCAGTAGCGTCGAACGAGGGCGTAAGGGGCCGTTTATTCTCGTTTGACGGAAATCGAAATAAAGTTCGCTAATTTGTCGTACGTCCGGTTCACACTCGGCCGTTGAACACGGTTTTCCCGCGTGGCAGGCATCTCCGTTTCGGCTCGTACATCAGCCAAGACAGCGAGTTAGCCGAATTTAACGCAACGTTGAATAGAACGATAAACAAAACTAAGAACGACACCAGGGGCTAACAATTTATTCTGACAATTTTCATTCAGTTAATCGTGATTTAGAAATTCTCGCAAACCTTGCGATTTATTAGCTTTTGCTATTTTTTTCTGATTGTTTTGAAAATTGTTACAGTCTATCTGACAAATTCCTTTAATCCTTTAAAAAATAGTTGTTTTGTTAGGATATACGTGAAACGGTCGATTTCAAAACGGCCTGACACTATTCGATGTCGCAAAGTGTTTCGAATATATGTAGTTTTCTTTATTTCTAACTATTGAACGATGCAGTAGTATATAACTGTCCGAGTAAAGGATAAACGAAAGAGAGGAGAAATCGTTTGCCGACGATAAACGATCAAGTTTGTTCAACCCCGTAGAAAGAGCCGATGGCTTCGAACGAAGACACGATGTGTTGGAGCATCGAAAAAACATGGAGACTCGGAGACGAAAGTATACCGAGTCACGAAGCTTCTCGGAATTCGAGAGAAGCTCGAAGTAATCTGAAGCAAAGATGAAGCAAAGGAAACTCGCCCCATGACCCTTTTCCGTTTCTTTTCTCGCTTCTGTTGCCGGAAAAGAAACGCCTTTGCCTGCCATTTTCTGCGCATTGTTTTGCTAATTGTGACTGTGTCTCTGTCATATTCCCACCGGAAATGAAAATTTTTACCCAAGGCACCTGTTTCTAGGAGTTCTCCCTTCTTCTTCCATTTTCTTTTCTTTTCCATTTTCCGCCTCGTTTCCTTGTCTTCAATTTCTTGCTTTGTCTGCGGAACACGCGCGAAATTAGAAGCATTTTCGCCGCTTCCTAGAGCCTCGGTTTCTTCGTTCGCGAAATTAAACTGGCTCTCTGCTCAGTTTTGTGACATTTCTCGCGCCATGTCGGAGATTTATGACGAAACGCTCGCGAAAAATGCACGCGTGCGATGCTAAAACTTCCTACTAAATATGTGTACTTTTTCTAATATTTTAATAATTATCTGTTACAGATTAACCAAACACTGTTACACGATTCGAGCTGCGTATCATCGAGATATACAGGTATTTATACGAAAAATATACACAAAAGATAGAAAATTTAATAAACACGGGAACAATAATTCCAGTCGAACATTTTTCTTTTTCGAAATCAAACAAAAGCGCAACTCCCAGTGTAAAATAGCAACGATTTGTCAAAGAGATTCTTCGCATAGAACTAGAAAAATCTCGTTTTTCGCGTGATCGGACGAAAGGATTTATTGAATTTCACGTTGAACGAGAAATGTATTCAGGGTAAAGGGTAGAAGGATGGCGGAGTTGGCTGTCGTCGATTATTAAGTACAAGTAAAAAAGCTAGCCCCTTTCTGCTTTTCGCTCGCAAATCACATAGCTATTTCACTGACAGGACCAACGACGACGACGAAAAATTAAAAAAAAAAAAAAGAAAAAGAATAGAAGGGCGTTATAGTTGGGAGCTGAGGTAACTCTGAGCCGCGAAACAAAAGGTGGAATAACCGCGGGGCTGATAAAGGGATCGCTGATAGTTGGAAAAACGGAATCGACCGGTCGAATTCGATATTTCGAGCCGGCATAGGCGCGGTACAACGCGATGCAGCGCGAAAAACTTTTGATATTGAGACGAATGGGGCTGGCGGGTAAATGTAGCTTTTCCCGAAAGCAAACAACCTGCTGCAAAATGTGTTTCCACGCGACCTTTGTCATCCTTTTAACTTTCTATCCGGTTACAAAATCGCAAAAGTTTATTAACAGAAATTCTTTTCGGATCGAATGGTAGTATTCGATTTTCTCGCGGAAACCGAAAAATTGACTAGAAACGTAGAGTTCCGGTGGTTAACGCGCGTCCGCGCATTCGCAAACGATGAAATATCGAGGAATAATTCGAAAAAGCGTTGACAAAAGGTGAATGCGGAGAACAAGGACGAACGATATCGAGCCGGAAAAGATGAGAATCGATCGAGTTCCGGAGTTATTTCGTTATATCCGTTTGCGCGGGCTTTCGAAGTGGACCGACCGGCATGGCAGGAAGTTTATAGGATTAGTTTGAAACGAGTCTGAGCGAAGAGGGCGGAAACGAGATTCACGCGACGAGTGGATACCAGAGATTATTTTATTCATTTCGAGGTGAAATCGGATGGTTGGATGAAATTTTTCTCCAATAAAACTAAGATCTTTCTTTCGAAATTAAAAATACCTATCTAATTGCAAAAATCAATGATTACAGAGGTTTATTATTCGCGTGTTCAATTAGTAGTTTGTAATTAGAGAAGAGGTAGGGTGCGAGGCTAATTCCGTGGAACGGAATTGAGGAACAGAGGCCTAATGAGGAAACTGTTGGTGCTTGGATTATAATATTTTATTGACATACTAACCGTAGCTCCCCTATATTGGCTTTCGCTTCCACACACACCTTACACCGCTTCTACTCCCTTTAGTTCTGCTCTAATTCTTTTCTACTATCTCTTATTTCCCTCTACTCGTTTTCGTTCCTGCTTCTGCATATTTCAATTCCATTCTAATCGTTTCCGTTCTAACAAAATACGACAAGGATGAACGAAGCATTTACTTGATCGACAGGAAATCATTTCCGTGAAAGCTCTGTTCGACAATGGAATATTTTTGCGACGGAAAGCGATGCGTTTGCTGCGGAGTAGTATCGTTCGGATTTTATTCGAGGTCCATTCTTATGTTAATTTATCAGCGGCGAACGAATGCTCGGTATAATAGGACACGGATTTATAGCCTGCGATTCGTCACGATGAAAGAGGAGAAAATTATCGAGAAATCGGAATAAAAGATGAGAAGAAGAAGAAATTTGTAATGTTTTTCTTTTTTTACGGGTAAGTCTGATCGCGAGGTTAGAAATGATTTTACGAAGCAACCTAAAGTGAAAGAAGAGCTGAAAATAGAAGAAATAAAATTGGAGAACACGAGAAAGCAAAGAAGTTGAAGGAGTCGAAGGGAATTTTTGCGAAATCAAGAGCAAAGGGGTTTCGAGGGTCTCAGAGGAGTGAAACAAACGTTGAACAAGTTGAAGGGGGGAAGCTGGGAAAGCAGAGAAAACGTTGAGGCAAAAGTAAAATAAGAAAGATCGCTCGATGAAACCTGAGAAAATTGTGTGTGATCAGTGGCTGTGGTTTCGAGAAACTGGTAAAGAAAAGGATAAAACGGTTCAAAAGTAAAGGCCAAATTAAAGAGAAGTGCGATCAAAGAAGCCGGAGAAAGAAGCAACAGGAAATAGGAAATAGGAAATAGGAAATGGAAGTAAAAAGTAAATCGACAAACTTGCTAACAATTTTTTACTATTGAATTTTATTTCTTTTTATTACACTTTTATTTATAATTCGGTATCTGGATTACCATCTGCGAAATCACGGATATTTATAGTTGCAAGCTGATTCTGATGCAAATGAAGAAACCGTGCGGTAGTGGTCTCGTCTTCTGATAAAGTCGTTTGTCCCGTTTGCTGGGTGTGTTCCAATTTAAATTATCTAACACGCTCTTCCTGAAGCGATAAGCCCACGTTGTCGGGAAGAAAGCAAGAGAAATGGCAAAGAATCTTTTACTGGCACGTTTACCAGACAAATGTTATAAGTATAAAATGAGATTTTCATCTTGACCTGGATACGTAGCTTTGAATTGAAATCGATGTCTCGATGTTTCGATGGTTCGAGCTGTTTGTTGAACGGATGGAGAGGATCTACTGCATTTGTCAGTAGGGGGTGTGCGAACTTTTTCAGTCTAGCGACGCCGCCAGGATAATTGCGCGAAATCGCATAATCCGGTTAAGGGGTGCAATTTTGTCGCATCGAATTGAAGCTTCTGATTGCATAGAGCATGTGTTGTTACGTGTGTGCCGTGTGTTTATCGAACGATCGCGAGAGCAGCCGAAAATTACGCTCGTCGTAACACTGGCAACGGATAACACCCCTACGTGGCGAATAATTTTTAATTTTTCATCCCTCTGATGCGATCTCGGTATGCTCGAATTAACGGGTTTACCTATATATCGTGTATATATATATATATATAAACAAATAAAAAGAGGAAACGAGAAAACGATAAAACGAAAAAAGAAGAAAATATGACAAATAGGTGGTGGCTGGGTTTGCTCGTTGGTTGGCGTTCGTTCAACATTTTCGCGTTTATCTCCAATATTTGCATTCGCGTTTAGAGTAGTTTGCGATGAAAACTGCACCACGTTTGCTCGAACCTCTTTTATTATCGATTATTTAAATCGACCTTCACCACGCTTGCTCAATTTTCATCTAGTTTACTTGAAAAAATTCACCCCTTGTTTCTTTGTTTTTCAATTTTCTTGATTTTTCTTGATTTTTCCTATTTTAATTCTTTTTTTAATCTGTTAACTGTTTTTTAATACTGGATATCCAGTATATTCATTTGCATTTTCGCTCATCTTCTCGTTAGCCTATTGGCTGATATTCCATCTTCCCCTTTTCCATAGCAGTGAAAAGCGAATTTCAGCATTCAGTCTCCTCTTGGCTCGTTTTTTTCCACTCGCCACATTTTTACCCTGTGCCCAGCCTCGTTTACTCGTCCCTCTGTTAACCCTTTTCCTCCCTTTCTCTCTGTCGCAGGCCACTGTTTTCGTTGGAAATTACGTCGACAGTAATATAAAATGCGTGGGTTTATCCTTCCGGAAGTTTGACTCACTCTTTGTATTTTCGTACGATAGGATCCTTTGCTTGTCCCATCGTTCCTCTCTTTTTTTCCTCTTTGCTTTTTACTTTCTCTCGGTTACGTGGCAATCCAATTACCGAATGAAAATATGTGAAGAGTCTCGTCTCCCGTCTCTGTGCACAGAGGGAAAAATGGATGATAATGTTATTATTATTATTATTATCATCATCAGGAAGAGCATAGGATAGAATTCCCAATGACGCTATGATCGTTGTTATTGTGATTTTTCATTTTTCATTTTTCGTTGCGTATGGAATGTAAAAGGTGTTCAGAGTTTTAAAGAATAAGGAAAAATTTCAGGGGATAGAGTTGAAATAATACATAGGCAAAGTTGCTAGAGAAACACACGTCAGGCTGTCTGTTAAAAGATGCAACATCCGTTCGTATGGTGTTCTTCGGCTAGTAGCGCTCCAGGTTTTCGAACGATTTCGAACGCATTAATCGTCGATTATTAACAATATCGAGGCGGTACAAGTAGAGCGTAATAACACGCTACCATAATGACGTAATCACGATACAGACGACTAACGGAGAATATGTCACTCGCATTATTCGCGATTAATTTACACGTCGCGTATTGCGATTTACATGGTTACACACAGTTTACATGTCTCGCCGTTTCGCGAATCACCTGCGAACCATGTAATTGCAATATTGCTGTAATATGTACCTATATGTAATGTAGAACGTGGTAATACGAATATGATGGAATATGATACACCGGGTTAGATGTGTTATTCTTGTAATAGTAATCATGCCACATTGACATAATAATTTATAACGAACTAATTTCATATTCCACGATACTTGAATTTTCGATAAAGGATTCTATTTATTACTCGAAAATTTTCACTCGGTTTTAATATATTCTAAAACCATTGTTCATGAGCGTGATCGTTCCTAGCACTCTGTTTCATCGAACGCCTCTTGGCAACCGTGGATTATTAATTAAATTCTTAGGATCGTTGTCCCTTTGCTCTGATTTCCGGGCCAATTACGAAATCCCCGGATTTGCTGCCGATTCGAGCCACCTACGTATCAGCCGAGAGATCCGAGGAAATAGATAATCGCGGAAATCGGAGGGAAAATTGCGGATAATTTACCGGGTTCTGGCGGAAACGGAACTTTGCTCAACGTTTCTTGCTCTCCTATCCGATTCGAATGCGTTGGATAAGAGAGCTATTTTTAATTGCAGACCTTTGTACGTATAATATTCGATGTCTACTTAAAGTATTAACGAGTAGCTACTTTTCTGATAGCATCTACAACAGCAGGCAATAAGAGCTGCTAACTAAACCGATAAACTTTCAACCTGAAGGGTTTCCAAACCCTTTTTTACATGT